TATCCCAAGAACTATGCAAATCAAATCAAGTTAGCCAAATTGGAGGTCTGAGTCAAAACATACAAGAAGGCATATTTATATTAAGTTGCTTGGCTGAGTAACGGGTATCTAATAGTCGAGGCACTCGACTATAGCGTTCTCTCTTGTCCATTTGTAGATTTGTCTTTATTTGGTTGCTTTATGTACTTCTAGTTTGGGTTGTTGAAACTCGAGCTGCAGAGACGAGTACAGTGTGTTAACAAATCTGTCTACGTTGGCTTCATGAGATGTGGACTTAGCTCAATGTGTGAGCCAATGTATTTCTTGTACTTAACCCAATTGGTTTTCTGTGATGTCAATTTAAACGATTGCTCCAATGCGCCAGGATGTCGGAGTAGAATAAACAGGACAGGCGAGTGATCAAATGAAAGATCCAAAAGGCATTCGGCGCTTATCAAATTTTTATACCCTTGCAGAGGGTATTATAATTTTGGTCAAAAGTGTGCAACGCAGTGAAGGAGACATCTCCGACCCTATAAAGTATATATATTCTTGATCAGGATCACCTCCTGAGTTGATATAGCCATGTCCGTCTGTGCGTCTGTCCGTCTGTCTGTTTCTACGCAATCTAGTCTCTCAGTTTTAAAGCTATCGAGTTGAAACTTTGCACACAGCCTTCTTTCCTTTGCACGCAGTATATATGTCGAAACGGGATCGGGATCGGCCGACTATATCCTATAGCTGCCATATAACTGATTGATCGGAAATGCCATAACTTTGGTGTTTGTAAAGTTAGAAAGTTGGAATTTTTTATGAGTATTAAGAATGCATCATATGAATAATTTTGGAGAATATATGTAATTTACAGAGTATTCTGCAAGGGTATATCAACTTCGGCTCCGCCCGAAGTTAGCTTTCCTTTCTTGTTAGGAATATTTTTGGTAATTGCAAAGTCTATTAAATCGGGTAGTTTCTTTGGGTCTGCCGGCCAGTATGTTGGTCTGCAAGAAGAAACATAGTCCAGCTTGTTCTTGGCTTTTATAACTGCATTATAGAGCTGTTTTCCTTTTGGAGTCACGAGACGTGACTGCTTGGCATTGTAGTCCCCTGCTGCTATGAAGTGGACTCCTAGTGAGTTGAAAAACTGCATAGACTTATCTTCAGCTATAGTGAAGCGAGGGGGGCAGTATACGGCGGCTAGTGTAAGTTGGTTGCCAGTATTTATTTGTATATTTATAGATGTGGCCTGTAGGTAATATTTAGCAAATTTGTTATGATAGTGGTGCTTAATACGGCTACTGATTAGAATTCCAGTCCCACCATGTGCTTTACCATCTGGATGATTTTTTCCGTAAAATGAATAACCTCGTAGTTGAAAATTGTATTTGTTTGTAAGGTGTGTTTCTGAAAGCAGCATTACGTCGATATGGGTAAAAGTCCGGGGAAAAAAGTAATAGTGAGATCAATTTTGTGCCAATGAAGCTAGTACTAATCGTTTTAAGAGCGGCAGAGAGTCAAGATTTGAGATTATAAGAAAAAATCTATTATAGTCAGAACACAATATTCTGAAAGGCTCATGCAAGGCATAGTTAGATCTACAATGATTTAATATTAAAGGGAATACAATTTCTAGTTAATCTACTTGGCACAGAAAAGTTTAGCTGACTTACCAAGTCGGGGGAGTCAATATCACCCTGTATAAGGTTATAAATGAAGACAGTACCAAGCATCGTTCTACGGTTGGCTAGGGAGGGTAAATTAATAGAAGTCTACTAGAATAAAAAGGTAAGTTAAGATTTGCATCCCAGTTTAGGCGGCGTAAAGCAAAAAGAAGAAAGTTTTTTTGTACTGATTCAATACGACCAATATGTATTCCGTATTGCGGACTCCAGACGGGAGACCCATACTCCAGAATCGGACGGACCAACGAAATAAATAAAGTTTTAGTTAAATAAGGATCATCGAATTGTTTTGACCACCTTTTAATAAATCCAAGCACTCATTACTTAACCATGGACAGTTGAAATTTAGTCTCCACCTCCTCCGTCTAGAGGGACGGTTCCATACACCTATACTAATTGTGTACTTACCTGGAAAATTACTTCAAGGAAGCTAAAGATCTCCGGCTTTAAGCAGATTTCTGTAAACACAATAATATGAGATGCAAAGGAAAGGCTATCGGAATACAATTTAGTGAGTTTGCTACGCAAACCTCTTGCATTCTGATAGGAAAGAAGGAGGTTAGAAGTTAGAATTTGAATCAATAGATTTTGGTTTCGCATTAAATCTTGCATAGTTGTGCGCATAAACGACATAAACTCCGTAGGGCTTTGTTGCAGGCTTCTTATCTTCAAAGTTGCTTTTTGACTGTTCCGGGAATTGTTGCTGCTGAGCAGTGTTCGGTTCTTGGTATGCTGATTGCAGAAATGAATTTTTTGAGGCAGGGTTAGCCAGTCCTGATTTTAAAGCGCTTGCGTAAGTCACATTTTTATCAGTCGAGAAGAAGACTTCAGGGTTTGATCTGGAAGCTGTCATCCTTATAAACAGGGCAGCCTCTGTATTTAGCAGTGTGATTGTCACCTCAGTTGCCGAACTTTTTCGAGTTGCAGTCATCTTTGCTCGCTGGGCAGTGTGTGGAGTCATGAAGATTTCCACAAACTACACACACCGGGCGCAGTTTTTGCGTTTGTGCGGTTCCCCAACTGTAATTCTGCGGTGGAGCAGGAACTGAAGATTGTAAATACGGTGCACTTCGTATTTCTTTAGGGGCTTATTTTCTGCTTCAAGCTCAACCTGCGTCTTTCTATCCCTGTTAAAGAAGTTGAAGACTGTCTTAGCGGTAAATCCCTTCTCTTGTAGCGCCTTTGTGATCTCTGCAGGCGTTACGTCGGATTCTATGCCCTTAAGTACGACTTGCAGCCCCTTGCTACTTTTTAGCTTGTGACGGTTCGTCGTTGTCGGGTGGCTCAGGGATGGCCAGGATTCGTCACAAGAATTTGTTTGTGTCAGGCGTGGTTGCTGAAAGAGAGTTTCGACCCAGCCCAGAGTAGAAGTCGTGGGGAATTACTTAGTAATTGAATTAGAACTAGGTTTTATTTCAGTAAGTATCTTGACAATTTATTAACAACTAACGAATTCACCGGTTTGGCGGGATGCCGCTCTTGCAGCCTTCGTTTCCTTCTTACGCTTAGAATACCTGGTCTCGGGAGCCGTCCAGCTGCTCGATAGGACCAGCACGGGTTAAGTTACCTGAAATGAGAATAGGGAGCCTGGGGACCCTGAAGTCAGCCACGAGCGAGAGAGATCGATTCAGTGCTTGGGGACCCGAAAGTCGACCGCAAGAGAGAGAATGTTTGCTTGGGGACCCGGAGGTCAGCCACAAGAGAGAGAATTGGTTGCTTGGGGACCCTGAAGTCAGCCACAAGAGAGAGAATTTGTTGCTCGGGGACCCTGAAGTCAGCCACAAGAGAGAGAATTTGTTGCTCGGGGACCCTGAAGTCAGCCACAAGAGAGAGAGAATTGGTTGCTTGGGGACCCTGAAGTCAGCCACAAGAGAGAGAAGTTGGTGCTTGGGGACCCTGAGGTCAGCCGCAAGAGAGAGAAGTTGGTGCTTGGGGACCCTGAGGTCAGCCGCAAGAGAGAAGTCAGCCGGTGAACCGTGCTGTAAGAAGGTGTGATCCTAAAATCAGCCGTCTCCTAGGGATACCTTCAGCTCGGCACGCCGGGAAGGTTAGAGGGAGGAGGAAGTAGTGCGGGAACTAACTACAATGTATAGAAGCGGACTTTGATCGAATGATCTAGTCCACCCAAAAAAGTGACTTTGCTGCTTACCACCACTGGGGAGATGCCTCTGCACCCTTAGACGGTTGGCAGCTAAGTGCCTTTCCATGGCCCGTGGCCCGTCTTATATAGGGCTCGGCGAGATTTAGTGTGCCCGTCGTCTGTGGGATTTACCGGGCTAAGTGTGACCATCTCTCTCAGTCTAGTGTGCCCCTATATGCGCGATCGTTGGCGCGCGCGCGTTCTCGGTTTGAATTTGAAATTACATGCTTCTATTGTGCGCGCAGCGTCACACTCCCCCCCGGTCATGGATTTTAGTGGTATTGAATCGTGACGTAGTTTCCCCTATTCGACACCACTCGCCAGGTTGTCTCCCCATCCTTTATCAGCCATCGCTGCTGCCTTCCAATTCTTTTTCCTGCTAGCTTTTCCTTGATACTGTCTCTTGCCGTTCTCGATATTCCCGCTCCTTCTGGTCGTGTCCATCCTTTGTCGCTGTGCTCCTCCTCATGGACCTCTAGTATATCCCGGGCTGCTCGGCTATCCCGGGCGATTCTGGCTAAAGCCCTTATGGTTTGGCTGCTCCCTTCGTTGCCCTGCCCTGACCGGGTGTTACTGGTTGTTTGCGGTGCCGGGGTCTTCATGTTGCCCCTCCTCTTCGCCGGTGCCGTCCGCTTTCGTGCGGCTCCCGCCATCTGTATCGGCTCTACTAATTTCGCCATAGTCTGCGCTGCTGCTATCTTTGCATGCTTTTTGCGGACTCTCAGCGCTGCCTCCGCGAACTTGTCCATGTTTTCGTGTTCGTTCTTTATTGTATTTGTTCCTCCGTTCGGCCTAGTGTCTCCAATGTATATCCTCTTTGTTTTCCGTTTGTTCGGGTCTTTTACTGCCACTTTCGTCCGCGTCTTCCTTGATTTTTTCTGCTGTGATCCCTTGTACTTCTCTTTGATCCAGGTGTCCGTGACCTCTATTGCTTTCAACTTGTCCTGTGCTGCTACCTCATTCCATTTTCCCTCTCCATACTGGACTACACCCAAGTCCCTGGTATTCGTTTTTGTCTCCGGTTGGTCCACTTTGTCTCCGGCTGCTCTTATCTCTAGCCCCAAGCCTGCATAACTCAGCGTTCTGCGTGCCCCGGCTAGAAAGTCCATTCCTAACACTTCTCCTGAACGCTCTTCCTCCAAATTGGATTTCTGCTGCGAATTCTCCTCTCGCCTTCTGCGTTGCTCCGTTGGCCATTGTTATTTCTGCTCGGGTTCCACACCATTTGCCATTTTCAGATCTTGATATCTGCTTCTGCTTATCTCGCTTCTGTGTCCGGTCCTCTGTGTCCGGTCCTCTGCCTCTATTTCTTCTACTTCCTCCGCTATTTTGAGGAACTCTGTCAACGATTTGAATCCTGCCCTCCTAGCGTACAGCTTTATCTTGCTCCTGCTGTTTTTGTACACTCGGTCCAGTTTGGCCTCTTCTGAGAGTTTCGTGAATTGCATCAGTTTTCGTAGCCCCATTGCGTATTCTCTTACGGGCTCCGTTTCTCTCTGTTTCATCTGTGCAATCTGATTCTCCAACTGTTCCTCATACCTCGGCGGCAAAAAGTATTCTAGAAGCTCTGTTCTCAGCTGAGTCCATGTTACGATCCTGCTCGGCGTGGTGTTCCACCAATAACTCGCGATCCCCTCCACGATGAATGGCATCGTCTGTATCAGCTGGTCCTTCCGTATTCCGTATCCGCCTGCCCACTGTTCCATTTTGCTTAGGAACTCCAGTGGGTTTGTTGTTCCTTGGTACCGGATGCCCCATCCGCGTACCCGGTCTATGACTTCTGTTTCCATTTTTATTTCTGTCTTTCCTTCCGTTTCGTCCCCTCGACTTGCTCCTTTGGTGTCCATTATCTCCTCCCTTTCCCTGGTTACCACGATCGCCGGAATTGTTTCCTCTCCTATATTTTTCTGTCAGTTCTGCGAGTCTTTGTCTGACCGTTTCCGTATGATCCATTTTTTTTGGCGAACGCTGCCAAGTCTTAAGTCTTCACTTTTTTCTGCCGTTCCTAATCCGAACTCTTCCGTGTATTTCGTTAGTTCGCTCTTTGGTGCCAGATATACCCAGCTCGACATTACTCCGCTGGTGTCGGTTTATCTCTTGCAACCCCTTTAACCTGCTCGGGCGCCACTGTGACGGTTCGTCGTTGTCGGGTGGCTCAGGGATGGCCAGGAATCGTCACAAGAATTTGTTTGTGTCAGGCGTGGTTGCTGAAAGAGAGTTCCGACCCAGCCCAGAGTAGAAGTCGTGGGGAATTACTTAGTAATTGAATTAGAACTAGGTTTTATTTCAGTAAGTATCTTGACAATTTATTAACAACTAACGAATTCACCGGTTTGGCGGGATGCCGCTCTTGCAGACTTCGTTTCCTTCTTACGCTTAGAATACCTGGTCTCGGGAGCCGTCCAGCTGCTCGATAGGACCAGCACGGGTTGGGTTACCTGAAATGAGAATAGGGTGCCTGGGGACCCTGAAGTCAGCCACGAGCGAGAGAGATCGATTCAGTGCTTGGGGACCCGAAAGTCGACCGCAAGAGAGAGAATGTTTGCTTGGGGACAGCCACAAGAGAGAGAATTGGTTGCTCGGGGACCCTGAAGTCAGCCAGAAGAGAGAGAATTTGTTGCTCGGGGACCCTGAAGTCAGCCACAAGAGAGAGAATTTGTTGCTCGGGGACCCTGAAGTCAGCTACAAGAGATAGAGAATTGGTTGCTTGGGGACCCTGAAGTCAGCCACAAGAGAGAGAAGTTGGTGCTTGGGGACCCCAACAAATAATTGATTTCCCACAAATATGTCCACTTTATGGTTTTCAAATTGTATACCCAATGAATAATTCAATAATAATAATAATATGCTTTTGCATTTCTTTCCAGGGTGAATCCAATGAAGCGCGAATAGCTGTTGCTAATCAAAGGGCCCATAAACTATTAAAATAATGAGATTATAAGGCGGAGAAAAAATACATCAACATTTCAGCAAAAAGAATTCTGATTTGTACGAGTGCTGCGGGAAATTTATTTAATTTATTTTTCAACGTTACCAACATTACTTTTTGAGCTCTAATAGTTATTACAAATTTTCTTATATATTATGTGATGTATGTATTATTTTTTGTATTTTATGTATTTTTTTTGAATTGGATTTCACAAAAATATATAAGTTTTCCTTATACGTCGATTAAAATAAGTTATCAACATCTAGAGGATATTTTTGTCTCTAAGGTTACTTTTGGAAAACCTTATGTAATTTTTTTTTGTTTGGACAGCCATCAAGTCCTTGTCTCAGGTTACGAATTCCATAACAGTAATTAAAAACTCATAACAAAACTTGTTTGGAATTCGCTAAGTATAAAATATTTATAATCCATTTTGGTTTTTTTATTGTCATTACTAGAACCAACTTATATGTAAATAATTAATTAAGAATAAATGTTACTTGTTATAAATAGTAAAATTGGAATTCGCTAAGTATTTAATATTTGTAATCCATTTTGGGTTTTTTATTGTCATCACTAGAACAAACTTATATGTAAATAATTAATTAAGAATAAATGTTACTTCTTATAAATAGTATTATTGTGCAGATAAAAAACTATTTAAGATTTAGTTGGTGTCGTCGGCTACATACTTCAAAGTAACATTTTTTGCTCACACTAAAATGTTATTAAGCCCTTCTGATTATTGTTACAAAATGTTTTTAAGGGAAACAATAACGTGAAATATATACAAAATCGGCTTAAAAAAAAATTTGAAATCGTTACCCTTATGTGATCAGCAGGTTAAATGTCTGCAATTAGTATTTAGCCCTTATCAAATTGTTAAGAAAATAAAATAAAATTCTGACCAATTATTAACTTGTTATCTTATATAGTGGGTGTTTAGTAGAAGACGAAGTCGGGTGGAATGCTTTGCCTGTCAACGTGTTTGGAAGCAATTCTTATTTTTCTTTCGCTGCTGCACCCGTTTCTGTTGCTCGTCGATATTTTATGTATTATAAGACTGGATATCCATCTCTGCTCATTCTGATTACTACTTCTCATGTTGCTCTGCTTTATCGACGCAGAGAGGTATACGGTTTTCGGGTCATGGACATTTGTCGTGCTTTGACTTAGGGGGCGAACTGCTGTTCTCAACGTAAACACTTAATGAAGCTCCAGCCGGTCGTGTACACGTCCTTCCTGTCACAACGACCAGACAAATGTTTACCTTTCCGTTCGATTATTTAGTCTCTTTTGGGCACGCAAGACGACATGCGTAAAATCAAAGTATCTTTATTTTCATCTTAGCTAATAGTGTCTTAATTCGGACACTGGCAAACTTTAAATCGCAATCTTGTTCTTGTAGTCACTTGACTTAAATTGTTGATAGTTCTTAAATTCATTCATTCTCTCCATTCTCTCCTCTCTCTAATACACTTCTACATATTTTCTGTAAGTTTAAATTTCGGTTAACCTTCTTAAAAACTATTGTCTATTGCTCTTATATTAGTTAGTCTTAGCCTACAAATTCCAATACAGTTAAAGAATTTCTAATATAGCTTTGCTCAAATTTCCTCGCATAACTTAATATAATATTTTCAATTTATTTTTTGGTTTTTATGATCATATTTTGTTCTTAGCTACATATATTTATTGATTTAATTACTAGATATGTCATCATGTTCTACAGTTCCCTTTTGGCACATTCTGACTATGTGTTCAACATTGTGGGCGTTTTTCCACTACCTCTCTAAAGTTGATTGAATGCTTTGAAGATCTAAAAGATTACGGATACCAGGTTGACTTTAAGAAAAACAAGGATCAATTGTGCATGGCTTCTTTCAGAGGCATGGAAGTCTGTATTTTTTGAACAGTGAAGAGCATCATGTGAACAAGATTAAAAAAAAACAAGAAAGGAAAGCTAACTTCGGGCGGAGCCGAAGTTGATATACCCTTGCAGAATATTCTGTAAATTATATTCTCCAAAATTATTCATATGATGCATTCTTAATACTCATAAAAAGTCCCAACTTCCTAACTTTAAAAACACCAAAGTTATGACATTTCCAATCGTTCAGTTATATGGCAGCTATAAGATATAGTCGGCCGATCCGTATGAAATTTGGTAGGTCGGATTGATTGGCCAAAAATAAAACCCATAGAAAATCCCAACTTTCTAACTTTACAAACACCAAAGTTATGGCATTTCCGATCAATCAGTTATATGGCGGCTATAGGATATAGTCGGCCGATCCTTATGAAATTTGGTAGGTCAGATTGATTGGCCAAATATAAAACCCATAGAAAATCCCAACTTCCTAACTTTACAAACACCAAAGTTATTGCATTTCCGATCAATCAGTTATATGGCAGCTATAGGATATAGTCGTTCCGACTTATATACTGCGTGCAAAGGAAAGAAGGGTGTGTGCAAAGTTTCAATTCGATATCTTTAAAACTGAGAGACTAGTTCGCGTAGAAACAGACAGACGGACAGACAGACGGACAGACAGACGGACAGACAGGACGAGAGAAGACGGACAGACGGACAGACGGACATGGCTATATCAACTCAGGAGGTGATCCTGATCAAGAATATATATACTTTATAGGGTCGGAGATTTCTCCTTCACTGCGTTGCACACTTTTGACCAAAATTATAATACCCTCTGCAAGGGTATAATGACGTGAATTGTCACGTGGCATTACCACCTGGGACATTAAAGGGAACGAGAGGGTTTAAGGGTGATAAATTCGTAAAACAGCACCAACTTAAGGTGATCATTTGATCTATTAGAAATCGTGATTGTTTTAAGTATTGTGAAGTCCGATTTCTTTAGAAAAAATCAGATATGTTCCATTTATTGACTACAAGGCGGCTGCTGAAAATTTTTTTTTTTATTTTAACATTGCTTTTATTTATTGAATCTTCTCTTCATTTTGAGACTAACAATAAGTTTACTAATCTTAACATTAAAATTTAACTAACAGTATAATAAGACTGCAATCTGGTTGCGCGTCTCTCAAGTCGGTCGCTGGGTGGGTAAGTCATTGCGACGAAGGCGTGATTGGTTGATCAATCTTGTAAGACCTCTCGCCAGGTGGTCAGGGTGCAACGATAGCGATCACTTCTTTGACTGGTAGGATGTTTGAGCCTTCTGTCGAGGTGTACTCCTAGATATGTCACTTCGTTTGCTTGCGGGAGTAGAGTATGGTTTAACATGAGCGGCGGGCAGTTTTGCCTGTTCAGGGTGAACGTAACGTGCTTGCATTTTTGTTCGTTCACTTTCATTCGCCAATCTGATAGCCACTTTTCAGAATTGACCAGATGAAGAGCTAGCTGCGCAGTTATTTGCATCGCGCATATTGACCGGCTGAGAATGGCTGTATCATCAGCAAACGTAGATGTTGTTAGTCGTGTGCTTGTTGGGATGTCTTCTGTGTAGAGGACATATAATGTTGGCCTGTTGCACGCTTCCTTGAGGAACTCCAGCTCCAATAGTGAAATCATCAATTAAAGCAGTGTTGCATCTCACAGCAAATTTTCTGTCGTAGAGGTAAGACTCTAAAAGTTTATGGGTGTTGTAGGGGAGCATTGTCTTGATCTTGTACATTAGACCTTCTAGCCAAACTCTATCAAATGCTTGAGAGGCATCTAAAAATATGGCAGTACAGTACTCTCGTTTTTCGAACGCGTTCCGAATTTCTGATGCTATCCGGTTGACTTGCTCAGTTGTTCCGTGCTTTTCACGAAACCCAAATTGATGTGACGGAATTCCTTCCTGGATTCTTAGGTATGTGTTTATCCGAGTCAATACGCATTTTTCAAAGAGTTTAGATAAGCATGAAAGTAGGCTTATGGGTTTATATGACGTG